CCCCACCGGTCTCTTGACAACGTAGTATGAAATTTATCATACCTTGTCAAGCAACATCTTCAGCAATCTTCCTAAAGAAGTATTTGCAAGCCAGAAATAAGCCGGACGTTGAAATGGCACCAACAAATTTTGATGCGATTTACTACGCTTGAAAATTAAGGGGCCGAAAGGACCGGAGCGAAGGAAAGAAGGACTGTACCATTTCCAGCAACGCTGATCATTCTGGAGGCACGGTATATATCCACGAAGGAGATGGTGCTGGTGAATTCCCGTTCAAGCAATTGGTGAGGAATGCTTAAAAACTCGACAGGTAAGAAAAGAAAGTAAATCTTGTAATCGTTGGAATCGTTGGAATCGCAGTCTTTTACACTCTTATAATGGGGGCCTTCTATCGCCCTTCAGTCCAACCAAGTCTTAATGATGACACGCCGATTTCCATTTCCAGATCATCAGCTAAGAATGCCTTACTAAAGACAGAACCAGCAGCAGCTGTAGGGCAAGCATAGTACATAGTTTCCTGTTTCCTTCGCACAGAGTGGTACTGATTTTACTAACCTCGTAAGGAAGATAGGCGAGTGACCCGCCAGGACTCGCATCCGTGACCTCTCGGTTCTGAGTGCGACGCTAAGCCCGGCATGAAGCAGTGTGTGGTGAATTTCTTGCTCAGGGGAATTCTTTATTATGACAACGATTGCTCTCGGGCGGAATCGAACTCGACACTCCCGGTGTTCGAGGCGATCTCTGTATCGTTGCGCCACCAAACTGGTGTCCCACGTGGCTTAATGAAACTGTTCGAGAAAGAGTTGCAATTTAGTCAGAACTTTTCATGGCTACTACCTTACGGATCGTAGGAGCGATAGAGGAAGAGGAAATTTCAACGGGTCAGGGCAGTTGGTAATGCATAATACAATTGTGGGCCATCACTAATACCAGGTCCAACCTCAACAACTACTGTTTTGCGATTTACTTATATGTTCCGTCAGGACGAGCTAAGATCGACCTCACGCGTGACTTCAGATCTCAGCACGTCATCTTGTCACAGCCGACGACGGGGTCGTCTCGGCAGTATCAATTACTTGTCATTACTGTGACTTTACTCTACTTGACTTTAACTCCGACTGCGTGGCCTCGTTTACGTCCAAGGTCACTACGGAACTAAAGCGCACAAAGCGACGTCGCTTCGATGCCGCCTTGCCGTCCAGCTGTCCACGCGCGACGAAACGCTCATTGAAAGATGCGCCGTGCCGTTCGATGAAGCTCGTAATAATCAATGGACTGCGACGCCGAATTAGACGATTAATTACTGTGCGAATAATTTGACTGGCTTCTAATGAAGATGCTTGTTTCAGTCGGCGCCTATTCGATCAGCATCGGCTCAAACGATGCGTCGATACGCGCTGCGGTACCAAAGCCATCGTCCGGCTTGCTTTAATCTGCTGCTGTCGTTGCATCGATGCTGAAGTCGTTTCCCCGAGGCGGATATCCATGGTCGTCGACGTTCCGTCGTTCCACGTATGAGGTTCATGAACTGTGAGTTCGAGCCTCGCCCCATTCGCCACGGCCATGAGGGCTTAAGTTTTACTCGAAAGCTCGAATGGTCGAGAAATTGTGAGGCGATGTCTCTGCTGCCTTTGCGCCACGGTGACAATTCGACGACGTTGGCGACGTGAAACCATGTTCGCTCTGCCGTCCTCGTCGTAGCGCTTGGAGACTGCCGAAATCCGGTTGCGGCGAGCCTCAGCCGTTGACTCATCCCCGGCGATTGTGCCGCGGTCGAAGTGTGACTGAGTGGACCACAACGTCCGGCGGCTCTGAAGGCTCGCACCAAAGCTGCAGCACGGCCACGACTCCATGATATTTTAACGTCTGTGGTGTCAGATACATATCACATCTTTCTGGCCGCTAGAGCAACTTAATGTTCCTCATGACCGAGATTTGTGGAGCTGGTATTCGTTACCTGCTTCAGTAGTGACAACAGAATATGATTATTTTAAATGGTCTAATTCCCCTAAGAATTGTTGAACTCTTCAAGAGAAATTAATTAAGATATATCTAGTGCTTCTATTCTAATTTGATGTCAAAAGATTTTTCTCCTGCAGATATGTGATAAGCGCCGGTTATCACTGTCTCTTCAGTGGAACGCCCCCACTTTTAATATACGATTTTAATGGGCTCATGACAAGAATT